AATCGAGGTTATGAAAAGAGTCTTTTAGTTAATACACATACTTTGTTGGTCTTTTCAAGGCAAAAACACTTATTAATGAGTTACAAAATCGCGACAATTCAACATCCAAAAGTCTGATATAAAATTTTGTGACGAAATTATTTCGGTATAAACGTATATATAACATTTACATAAGTTATACAACGAAAGTTACGGTTGTTCAGGAATAATTTTGTTCATCTTCGTCTATTGAATATAAAATTGTAATTTTTAGCAAAGCTTACTGTTCAGTTGATCTAAATTAAAAGTTATAATGTTATAAATCTATTTTATAAATGCTCAAACTGACTGGAAAACCATTTTTAAAACTGATTTACTGCGCTTACATAACATAGTACTACTAATTTGCAGATACAGAAAATCCATCACAGATCAAAATAACATTTAAAATTATCATTAAGGATCGAAACCATTATTTATCTCTATTTTAGGTTTATAACATTATACCTATTGAAAGAGATAACCTGAACAGTAAGCTTTACTAAAAATTACAAACGAGGATGTAAATAATTATTAAGGAATAACCATAACTTCTGTATAATTTTCTGCTCTTTTGCGTAAAATATGTAACTTCATTTTCTCTCTTCATTTTCTGTAACTGTAAATTTGTAGTATATTTTTATGTAAGCGCTGTAAATCAGTTTTAAAAATGAGTTTCCAGTCAGTTTGATTGAGCATTTCCCATCTTTAATCTGAACTCATTAGTGGCTCTCCACCATCGTGTTTATGGTGCCCAATTACGGTCGAAAGTGATTCACATCTGCACACAAAGAGCGAGCCTTGTGATTTTGATTAGATGCCAATTTGTTTATGGTCTGTCCAGAGATCAGATGTCCCATATCGCGTATCGCTGGTTAAACTATGCCCAGCACACTTCGGCTCGTCTTACATAAGCATTTCGATTTTGGGGGCTCCTCTAATACGTTACGGATCCACATTGAACACCAAAAACCGCCGAACCCAATATGTTTTAGGCGTCTTGAATTACCCGAGATTTTCATTTTCGTTTTGGTTTTTACGATTGCCATAAAATTGCTGGCGGTTTCTATTGAACAGTCTGAGAAACTTCATCTGATTAGTTTATTAATTTGTGTAATGTGCTCGTATGGTGGCGAAGTTGGATGGATTAATTTATAAGTTTATGCGCATATAAAACACACTTTTCGAATGGCGTTTGCCCAGCGGCAAAACTCATTCACAAAAGGCATTGTTCGCCCGCATCCGAAAGATACGAATAAAAGGCGAAGACGACTTCCAAACTTTGGGCCATGTAGCGCTGTGGAAAAGTGGTTTCCAACCCACCCCTGAACATCATCATGGCTATGGCCCTTCCACTGGGGGAGTGGGAATGGAAATGGGAATGGGCGGAGTCTAGGAACGGTTTGCGGCCGGAGGTGGGAGAGCGAGAGAGCGCGCTGCTCTGAGTGTGTGCCGCTCGCACGAACTCGTTTTTTGAGTGCCGCCGCCGTCCAATGCAGGGATTTCCACTCAAGCAGCGCTGCCGCGGCTCTGCCGGCGTCGAGATGAGCCAAACGCCGGCGGTTCGTCGGCTCAGTCGATTCGAGCCACTCAAAGCGAGCGCTACGGGAACGGTCGACGTCGATCATCCGCCCGAACCCGCAGTTCAGTTCATTCAAACAGATTCTCCGCGTTACTCGCTCGTTCTGAAACTCCAGTCCACCGAATCGGCATTCGATTTCAAAACATCGTCAGAACAAACCAAATCAAATCCAACCGAATCGGTACAATCCACTCCTCGCGTGTGTGTTCCTAGTGAAAGTTTTCACCATCCCACAGAATGGTCACCCTCATGCCATACAACTACGCTGCCCCGCACTGCGGATTAATTGACAAAATGATCGAGCCAAAGGTAATCAAATAGTCGTAGTGCTCGTTGCTGGGATTTTCCCTCTTGGCGAAGCTTTAAAAGTGATGTGGTTGAGCCTGGGCACCGCCATTGCCGTCGGCTATTGTTGTTGTTATTGTTATAGTTATTGTTATGATTATGGTTATAGATGTCGGCAGTAGCTTCCTTGGTGGTTACATTGTGGGGCTTCCCCTAACTGCGACAACCAGCCGAAAAGTGAAACTTAACTGCAAGATACTGGTCTTAATTTATTAGGCCGGGACTCTAATACATATATGTATATCCAACGGTTTAGGATGGTTTTGAGGTGATCTATTAGACGGCATGATATCATAGCACACTTCATATATAAATCTGGTCCAGCTTGACATCTAAGACGAGTTAAGATGTTAGTCGATTTCACAAAATTGAGAAACTAAATCTACCAAATCGAAATACACTTAGAAAAAGTATATCACTTAAACTACTTTTAAGATCACAAGAGAATTTTTCTTCAGTTAATAATTATGGAATGTCCCCCATTCACATAGGATTACTAGTTTTATGGGCCCAGCCTAAACAATACGGTTTTAAAGACCCCAAGGGGATAAAGATTATGGACACCTGACCACAATTTTATTACATCGCATCAATCGGCTTAACTTTGGCTGTGGGTAATGAAGCAGACAAGTCAAGTCCCGAAGGTCTTTAAAAATCTAATAGCTATGCAAAGTGTTGCCAACTTTTGATGGCTGTGGGATGCACACCTTTCGTCAGCACTCCATGCATTTCTCCAAACAATTAATGACCCCTTTCATTCACTGGAATTTCAATGTTGAGTTTGCCCCAGATCAGCGCAAAGTTCCCGGTGATTAAATGGAACAGCATACCAAAGCCCAACGACGGAGTTTTCTGGGTCCCTGAACTTAGACTAAGACAAAGTCGAGTCGCAGGAAACGTGACGAACGTCGAGCGGAGAGTAGGTCGTAAGGAATGGATCTGGATGGTTAAGGCGAAATATTAATAGAGCATAAATTACGGCTCTAGCAGGTCTGTGTGCCGGCTTTATGGGAATTTAAAGAGCCTGGCCCACAAAAGCCAGAGCTGGGCTTCGGCCGGCCAGCGGCATTAATCACATTTTAATTAAGTTTAAGCCGTAATCGTAAAAATTAACACGCCATAATTCAACCGCGACAATACGCGCTGCATGTAATTTATGACAAAGAGAACTCACAAATGGGGGGGGGTTTCTGGAGGGGAAGAGTCGAAATATTGATTATGGCCACTGCGATTGACACTTGGCGATTGTTGATTATACTACCACGATTGTGGCCCAAACGTAATTAACGTGCCAAAGTGTTAAAGGTGCTTGGGATAGGACCCATCCCAGCCCAGTCACTAAGAGAAACAAATTTTCCTCTTGTTTATTTTGATTCTTATCGCGGAGGTCGAGGATCGGGGATCGGGGATCGGGGTTCGAGGGTCGGAGGTGGGGGTGGGGGGTTGGAGGGGTCTTAGGGCCGGGCTAATAAAAAATTTGTCGCCGTCTTCTTGTCTTGCTGCCTTGTCTTTTGTTTGCCTGCTTTGTGGCCCAGAGTGTGTGTGTGTGTGTTTTAATCTTCTTCTAAAGCAGCAGAAGAGACAAAGAGATTACGATCACAGGAATTTCGTTAAAGATGCTCAGAAACAGGTCTTTATACTATATATCGCGCACTCTTTCCCGCAGCCAGGCCCAGCCTCCCTTCTCGACTGTTGTCTGTGTTAATGTTTACGTTGTCAGCTTGTGCCATAAATTAGTTTAGTAAAAGGTTGCATTTGGATCTTTCCTCCCGACTCCTCACTATCTCATTTTTGCATACAACCCGGACTCGAATTCGGTTGCTCGTGCAGCACGCAATGCCAGAGATTCGCGTCTCGGAATCGCGACTCCATGCGCATCGCGTCGAAACGCTACCGTTCGGCAATCCGTCCGCTTGTCCGCTGCGCATGCGCGTGTTCCCTTGGTCCGTCGACAAATTCGAGCACTCCCCTCCCTGACCGCCGCCTTCATCTGCATCCTGCCCCTGCGAGATCGCCGGATGATGGACAGTGCGTGCGTGTGGTCATCTCGCCGGACGGCAGAAGCTGTCAACCGAAGCCGCTCAACTTTTTGTCCCTTCCCATCTTTTTCGTTCGCTTTTTCAGGGGTGGTGGGGTAAAGGGGTGGAGGGGGCACAAATTCCAGCACCTGGGCTTGCCGTTCCCGGCTGTCCGCCTTCGATTTATCTGGCTTCCGTTCGATTTGCATAATGACTTTTCTCAGGCTTCCTTCAGAATTTTTGGAGTTTGTTAAACTAATATTTCTAGCCGGGTCAAAAACTGGAATTATTCTTATTATTCTTAAAGTACCGGATCTTTTCTATAAACTGATTTTATATATTGGGAAGCATTTTATTTGTAATCCTTTTTTTGGCTGAATACCCTTGCTTATTCTTAAGGATCACCTAAGTTTCTAAAAACTGATTTTGTATATTGGGAAGCATTTTATATTTAATACTTATTTTGGTTGAATACCCTTGCTTATTCTTAAGGATCACCTAAGTTTCGATTAACTGTATATATATTTTTTGGGAGGCATTTTATTTTTAAACATATAAATATAAGAATCACCTTAGGCTTTATTTACTACATTTTGAATAGCCCTCTCCTTGCCTAGTCACATCCTTATCTAAATCTGTCAACACCTGCTGATTTTCCCCTTGCCGATTTCCCCTTTATGCGACTTCCCCTTAAATGGCGCCGCACATCCGAAACATTTCGACCAGCGGCGGCCCAGTAAAACTTTTCCCACGCACAAGCTTGAGCTGCGAAATTCGCTTGGCGCAGCAGCAAATGCGAATTATGTAAAATTGGCTGTTTTCTTTCGCCACTCCGCACTGGATAACCCAAATAGAGTTTCAGGCGGTGGAAGTGCCGAGCTCAGCAGGGCGATCCCAGACGCCGAGGTGTGAGCCGGGGCAGTTGTTTATAAACAAATTCTTTCGAGGGCTACATAATCCGTAATACTTGCTAAGCCACCAAAAAATATTTATTTCCGAATTATATTTAAATGTGTTTTTTTTTGGCATATTTTCAGGTTAAACGTCCCAAGACAGAGCACACGGATACACATGAACGCAACCGGTATGTTTAAATTATAGTAATAAATGAATTATCATATTGAGATATTTGGGAACTGCTAAAAAATTAAACAAATCGAAATTAAAGTTAATAATAGCCATTTTCGATGCTTTTTCTGCCTCTCCCTCCCCAAACCGCACTCAATGATCTTCCAATGGAGTTCATCTGCTAGCGTAGACAATTTGTAACAGAAAGGCCAGGACATTCCTCACACTTGACAAGGGGCGCACCATCTTCAATTGGTTTCGATTGAAAAGAGGCTAGGGTCGTTGGTGGAGTGGAAGAATTTTGCATGTGGCCCTCACAACCTGACACATGCCCCGGCAGAAATTCAAAGAATTCCTTGCACGCTTCATCTGTGACACAGAAGAGATCCCGAAATCCCGAAGAACAAAAAGTGAAAATACGAACCGAAAAGTGTCAGAGCACTTAGCACTTGCAGGGCAGGAAAAGAGCGGAGGAGGTCCAGGCCCAACTACTTAAAAGGGACTTAAAGGCGGCTTAGTCCTCGAGATCTGTTCCTCCTCTCCGACTTCTTCCTCAATAATTTCCATTTTGATTTGCGTAAATCTCCCATTGGCCACCACCATCCACCATTATGCGTGGAGCAGATCTCCAAGCAAAAGTTTTGGTTGGCTTTCCCCTTTCGCCAGCACACGCGTCGTTCTGCGCTGGGAAAAGGCTTTTCCCCCTGTTACCAGCTGCTCCCCCTCCTCATTTTCCCATGTTGTGGCTGCCAACAAGATAAATGTCCCCCTTCTTCAGATGAGAAAAAACTCAAGGTGTCAGATTCCTTTGGAAATTGGGCACTTAATTTACCTTCCTATTAAAATTATGAAACATTGTTGAATATTTCCATCCCGGATGGGGGAAGTTGAAGTAGAGTTAGTAGAAAATGGGAAAAAATGGGATAAGAAAATAAAGAAACTGAGGCAGATGAATCATTAGGGGTTTTAAGAAATATAATTCTTATATTTATTGTGACCAATTCGGAATTTACATTAAATAGAATCATTTACACTGAGGATTTTTAAAGAAAATGTTACAACTCAAAATTAATATCTTAGCCTTATCATGTGAAGCTTAAAATACTTTTGAATACTATTCAAATGTTAGGCCAAGGAACCAAGGAAACTCCACTTAATTGCACTGAAAAAGATTGAATTACTCCCCCATTTGTCCCCCCTTCTTCATTGGAATAATCTATGTTCCGAAACAGTTTTCATTCTTTTGATTTTCTCGTTGCGGTGATTTATTTGATTTTCAGTGGTGCTCAGTATTATTTGATTTTTATTGAGCCCTTTAAGATTTCCAATTTGTCCACTTAATTTTGAACCTACTTGAAAAGTAATAACAGCCAAAGAACAGAAAGAAACATCAAAACACAAATCGTAAAATATAAAAAAATATTTGTCGTTGCTCTCTGGGAATTCAACATTTGCTGAACACATGGTCGGGAAGGGGGTGGGGGGACGGACCTCTCCGGGACAGTCCGCACATGCCACTAAAATGCGAACCCAAGGAGCCCCTCAAGTGCCCCGAAACGATTTCAAATGATTTCCTTCTCTCATCTCAGCGATTCTCAATCGCAGTAAACAACCCAAAAAGGCAAAAAGCGACAGGAAGAGGGGAACGGCGAGATCGTAGAAAAATATTTATAACACTTGACAAGATTTTAAAGACCCTTCGACTGGGAGACACTTGACTCAGGCTCTGGGGAAAAGAAACGGGGAACAAAAAAAGACCAACAAGAACAACAGCGCACCGTTAATTTAATGATTGTTTAAAGATTATTGGAAATTATTTTATGGGTTCCCTAACGAGACGAGGGTTTTTCTTTTGTCTACCACGCAATGAGAAGTCCTCATCTGTAGTTATTGGGCATTGCACGCATTTTATTGAATCCCTAATATGTTTCTTTAAAACTCTCTGTTTTACTAAGCTAAAAAGTTAAAATATACTAGTTTTAATTTGTTTATAACTACTGAGGCTTACGTACTATAACGTAAACTATAATTAAATCAGAATATACTTGTCAGTAATCTCTCTCAACATTTTTGAGGTTCTCATATTAACAGCCAAGCAATTGACATTCGTTTTATGTGTTAAGAATTGAGAAATGAAAAATCTTATTGACCATTTAATGTTTGATTTTGTAGAACTTTTGTGTTTTAATTAATAATAGTCCCTAGGCCTTTAAACCGCTTGAGACTTAAATTATTGTATTTAAAAAAATGGTTGGTTAATAATGAGCTCAAGCATTAGGACATTGATAATGCCGCAATCGAATTTTTGACAGGGTTTGTTTTATATATTTAAAAAAACGAGTTTCACTGTAAACACTCCGATTAACCGACAGATTTCTTAATTTTGTGTCTCAATTAATCAGTTATTAGTCATTGTACCAGTTTGTTGTTAAGGAAAATAATATATTCCATTCCTAAAAAATATGTAATATGCCCAATTAAGCGTTTCCAAACACATAAAGTATGAACTTTTTAATTAGCACCAACAGTAGAGTCGATATTGCCATGTCCATCTGATTAATAAATGACGGAGGTAACCTTTTTTGTAGCAAGTCAGTACTCCACTTATTCGTTCTTGTTGTGCCCTCCCCTCTTACGACTCTCCTTGTCTTATCTCGTTGCAGCCTCTGCAATCTGTCACAGCAGCAGCAGCAACAGCAACCCCAGCAGCAACCGTCGCACCAGCAGCAGCAGCAGCAACAGCCATCGCATCCCAGCACCGTGTTGGCCAGCAATGGACCCAGTAGTGCCGGTGCCGGTTCCGGCATGGGTGTCGGGGTGGGCGGGGGCGTGGGCGTGGTCGGGCAGTGCAGTCCCCTGGAGCTGCCGCCCCAGAGCCAGCCGTTGCAGCCCACCATTGGATCGCTGAGCGGCCACTACTCGAACGGGAACGTCAATCCGACCGTGAACCCGAGTAGTTGCAGCCTGTCCGCCGCCTCCAGTTTCTCGCAGTCCGCCGGCAGCAGCTTCTCCACATATCAGCAGGCAGGATCCTCCGCCGGAGCCGGTGTTCCTGGCGAGGATGTGGTCGGCGGCGCCACTGTGATGTCGCACTGGACGCACGATGGCTCCGGTTCGGGTGCGGCGGTCAAGTCGGAGTCGCGCAGCCCGGGACAGGGACACGCCTCGCTGGACAATTCCAACCTGTACGCCTGCAGCTCCGCCAGCAATCCCCTCGACGGAGGAGTGGCGGCGGTCAGCTCCTCGGCGGTTTCGGCGGCTGCGGCGGCGGTGTACGACGGCAAGCACGACTACTACTACTACAACAGCATGCAGCAGTACACGCCGCCGTTCTACTCCGGCTACGGAACCCCCTATGCCACCCGTCAGACCAAGATGGAGCCCGGGGCGGCGGCGGCCTACCTTACGCCCAGCTACGCCGGCGGCGGCAACAACAACTCGCAGCTGTACAGCAGTCCGTACGCCGGCTACAACAACTTCGGGCAGCAGGACTACGGCGGTTACTACAACGAGCAGTACGGGAACTACTACAGTCCGGCCAACTACTCGCCGTACGCGGTGAGCTCGCCCAGCTCGAGCGCGAGTCACGGACACGGCTTCCATGTGGCGGCCTCCTCAAACCTCTCCGAGAGTCCCACGGACACGCTCTCGACGACGCCGGTGCACCAGAGCGCCCACTCGCCGAATAGGTAAGTCCTAAACTAGTTCACTGCATCTCGGTAATACTCATTCCTCCATTATTGAGACATTTTTTAAATATCTTGTACCTCAACATTCCACAAATTGATTAACTGTGCTGGATTTCCTGCAAAGAAAAGATTGTTTTTTTCAACTTTGATATTTGTTATTAAATATACATATTAGTATAATCAAGTTCAACACTGTTAATTTGGGTCCAGATTGCAAGGATAAGCTTCTGATCTTTAAAAATTGTCGTATTGTAATTGTATAGTGGATTCATTCGTCGCCCAAGCTCATATTTTCACATCCATTAAATTAACTGGTGAATTTTTGGATCTCATATTAGATGCCAGTTTATTTAAGGCAAGGAGAATTGGCTCAATTGTTTCAATTGCCACTTCCAATTTTAATTTCATTAACAGTTTGAACACAGCTCATCAGATATAATCACCAAATATAACGTAATCTCGTTATCTATCAAATATATGAAATAGTTTGGACGCTTCCAACACATAATGAAAAACTTCGGCTAATTCTAGGCACCTGAAAAGTAATAAATATTTAAGTATTTTTAATTGCGGCAGGATAAATTGAACAGTAAATTTGAAGACAGGACTCGCCTTGCCAAAGTACTTGAGAATATCCTTTCTCTTATAGCTGATGAACAGATTTCGTCCATCATTTGAGTAGGCAAGGGATAACAGCCAGAAGTTGATCCATTTTCTTATATTAGATATATTCTTCTTAGACAATGAGCCGAGACAAGGACTTTAAATAAGTTCGACTAGACAGTAGCTTTCATTCCTTTAAAGAGAGGGTTCGTACTCCGATTATTATATACATTTTTAAAACAATAAATTGTGATCAATTTAAATGTGCTAACATGGTGTTTTTAGTTTTTTAAAGGGATTTAACTGAGAACTAAGCAATAGTACTATAAATGCTAACAGATAAATAATTTTCATATTTTATAGAATAAATGGATTAATTTTATTATAAAATGCTTATCATTTTGCCATCAGGTTTAACCGACGCAAAGCTCACTTTATAAATTTCTAGTTAACCCCACCACTCACATTGTATTTATTTTTCTTGCAGAAATGGCCGATCCCCGTTGCCGATCTCGCCCAGCGCCGGAATCGGAGCTCTGGGAAACGTGGCGGCGTCGGCGGCTGCGGCAGCCCTCAACTCCAGTGGAGGCAGCAGTGTGGGCACGGCGGGCTCGGGGGGCATGGCGTCCAGCAAGACCACGCCCACGGGCAAGACGGGGCGGGCGCGGGGACGCCGCCACCAGCAGCCCAGTCCCACCAGGAGCACTGCCTCGGACACCGGAAACAGTGAGGCAGTGAAGCCCCCGGAGAGGGTATTTGTCTGGGACCTGGACGAGACCCTCATCATCTTCCACACCCTGCTCTCGGGCAGCTATGCCAACCGATACACCAAAGACCACAGCTCCCTAATGACCATCGCCTTCCGCATGGAAGAGATGGTCTTCAACATGGCCGACACGCACTTCTTCTTCAACGAGATCGAGGAGTGCGACCAGGTGCACATCGACGATGTCAGCTCGGACGACAATGGCCAGGACCTGAGCGCCTACAACTTCGCCACGGACGGCTTCCACACGAACACCCCGCCCGGCGCCCCGCCCAATCTCTGCCTGCCCACCGGAGTGAGGGGCGGCGTCGACTGGATGCGCAAGCTGGCCTTCCGCTACCGCAAGATCAAGGACATCTACAATAGCTACCGGGGAAAGTGAGTATAGAGATGACCTCTTCCTTCAACATATAGATGTACATCAGGAGTAGTAGAATTCCCTTACTGCAGTTCGTTTTGAACTCAGCAAACGATTAAATGCATGCATTATCAAACCCGAAGATTGGATTGGGAACGTGATTTCACAGATCCTAAAGTTAAAACAAAGTTTTGAAAAGAAGAATGTACTTGTTTGATGTTTACCCCAACTAACCAAACATTCTAAACCGTTTTTTTCAGTGTTGGCACACTGCTGGGACCCGGAAAGCGCGAGGCCTGGCTGCAGATCCGCTCGGAGATCGAGGTGGCCACCGACAACTGGGCCACGCTGGCGCTCAAGTGTCTGAGCATGATCTCCCAGCGGGAGAACTGCGTCAACGTCCTGGTCACCTCCACGCAACTGGCCCCGGCGCTGGCCAAGGTCCTGCTGTTCGGGCTGGGCGGCATCTTCAACATCGAGAACATTTACAGTGCGCACAAAATCGGTGAGTGGACACGGCGCGTGATGGCCGAGATGGATCCGAGTTGTAACCGGTTTTCCCCCCTTTCCGCAGGCCATGAAACCTGCTACGAGCGGATCGTGACGCGCTTCGGCCGCAAAAGCACCTACGTGGTGATTGGGGATGGCAACGAGGAGGAGACCGCCGCCAAGGCCATGAACTTCCCCTTCTGGCGCATCTCCGCCCACAGCGACATTCGCGCCCTCTACACTGCCCTCGACATGGGCTTCTTATGAAAGGCCAAACTGTAAGGGGATCGCCCGATATTATTGCCTCATCGGATCGGTATCGCAGGCTCGAAGCAGTTTTGAGTACAAACAGCAAAATGTTTAATTAATTTATTTAATATGTACGTGTGTGTATGTGTGTGTGTGAGACATCCAGCAAATGGAAACTGTAAACCAGCGCAAAATAATTTAATTATTTTGTTTAAACCATTTATACTTTACCGCCAAGACTTTTTGTATTATATAGTTTTTAAACACCTAATCAACGATCGTAACAATTCTCGCACGAAGTTGTTTCAAGTGTGTAATTAATGAATTAACAATATACGTATTTAGCACCTTAGAGTAGCAAACAATAACAGACCGATGTGCATCCTGGCAAAAGAGGCGGAGTCACAGAGCGATCGGAGCAAACACAACAAAAATTAGTTTAAAGTTCTTAGTTTAAAAGCAGAAGCATAATTATAATGATTATAAATAATTCGACAAAGCCGTAGTATTCAAATTTTAAATAACTATTATATAGCTGCATATATTAAACTATATTTAAAATATAAATCCAAGTAATAAAAGAGCAAATCCAACAACAGCGCACTGTGTTAAAACGGTTCAGAGGGAATTGGTCTTTTGGGGTTAACGAGGATATCATGCTTGTGAATGAAAATACCATGCGGGAAAAGGAAGAAGTTTTAGACCAAAGTTGGAAGGAAATATCTACGACATATGATAAATAAATAAATGGAAACCGAACCTACCTTATTTCAGACAAAATCGCCCACTCTTAATCCGTACTTTCATCACATTTAGCCACCCTTAAAATAATTTTACAAGATAATCCCTTTATTCAAACGGTTTTTTAAGGCTTTAAAGTAAATGTCAGTAAATTGTTTTTAAGCCGTTAAAATGGTTGTACAACTAGTTGTTTTTCATACAAGTTAACATTTTTCCTGCAAAATAGTTTTTGAGTGTCCAAAGAAGGGTTTTTTTTAACAAAATGTTATATAGTTTGAAATGCGTTTTAGGGGTATTCCCCTTTTTACTTTATGTGTAACTAGTTTACAATTTTACTCTATGACTAACAAGTATAAAATTCGTGCAATATTTGTGAATGTATCATCCTGATTGCTTCAAACTTCACTGGTGAAGTATGGTAACTTAAAAACTTTGAACAACGGCGCCAAAACTGTATGACATCTTTGGAGATAACGCCTTGCGAAAGTTGCCAGAAAGCGCCTATATTTGCGTTAAACCCAAAGGTGGTTACACTGCCTGGACCAGTGGAAAGTGCTGCCGACGGGAGCAAGGGTGGGGGCAGGTCGCCGCGATCAGTTTTCCGTGGAAAGTGTGTTACCCATGTGCAAAATATAGTGCTGCCAGACTGTCAAACTGAACTTTACCGGTTTTTCCCCAATTTCTCTGTTTTCCGAACTCGGTCCCCAGCGTGAGACCCCCAAAAGTTGCGCCCGTTCCCCCACATCCGCCATGATCCTGGGAGCCCCTCAGAAAAGCGCAGGAAACGCTCCCAAGCCTCACGACCGAAATCATACCCTCAAGACTGCAAGCGATGCCCCCCTCAAGACCCTCCCCATCCCGGCGCAGCCATTTTTCCCACTGCTATGTATGTACTCTTCCGAAATGTATAAACATGTATAGAAATTATGTTTGACATCGACATAGTAAACCAACGCTAGATGGCGCGCTTACTACTCACTCATGTATATATTACATTTTCATTACTTGATGTAGATATTATCTACTTGGTATTATTTGTTTCGTTTTATGTATGTATATATACACGTATAACACGTTTAATAATTCTAAGAATTGGATGTCCTAAACTAAAATGCGAACATCTTTCGTGATTCCGCATTGTAACGGAGACAGCTTCTTCTGTTGATATAAAGTAATAATATAATACTATATAGTATTTGCTCATCCTAATTAGGTTGGGGATTTAGCATTATCAGGTTTGCAGAAGTCAGTGGAATTGTTGCTGCTGCCCCCACACCGTCTAAGCCAACGCAAATCCTCTGTAAGTTAGAGGCTTTCTCGTCAATAGCTGTTGCAACTACTTGTGAATCATACATACGGATATTTTTAAGAACTTGTCTTATTCGAACCACATTTTTATGAGTGTAGCCTTTAATTACGGTGTACCAAAAGACAGATCCAAACCAATTTTAAGGGACATAACACCCAATAAGGTCAAAAATAATTTTCATAATTCAGTGTTTATTCAGTTGGTATCTTGCTTAATAAGTGTAATTATGCAAATATTGCTGGATTTTTCAGTTTATTAAACAATCCAAATACTCTTTTAACAAATTTTGTTGCCAATTTGATCGATTTACTGGACTTCGTTTTGGAAAAAGAAAACGAGTATAACTCAGTTATATAGTAAGGACATAAAGTATAGTACAATTTAATTACAATTACAACTAAATAACCATACAAATAATTTATGCCTAAGGAAACTTATGAGTAGGAATTGAGTGCGCATTGCTCATCTTAATGCATTTTTTAGTTTTAATTTTCATTAAAAAATTCGTGTCTATATTGAATTAGCGTGATTTAAGTGTTTCCGATTTGATAATATTGCACGGTTTTTGGTTTGCCAAACATGGGTGTATAATTGCATCTCGATTAATTTTTCTCTCTGATACGTTTTGGTTGTGTTAGATGCTAAGTCACTGGATTTCATTGCACTTGTTAAGCTGAATTACAAAAGTTGTTTGCCTAAATAATTTACATCAAAAAGCCAAGTAAACAATCCACTATACGCAGCCCTATTTAGACTAAGGTTTCAGTTATTGTTTGCTTATATTCTAGGCCTAAATGTAAATCTGATATTCGACTGGTTTTCGTACCGCTTTACTCTCTACACAAAATTCGCCAATTACTAAAATTATGCATTTCATATTGTATACTCAGTTTATATATATTAATAACTATTGCTCAGTTAAGTGTGTTTGCGTGTTTAGCAAAAATGTGCCAGCTATGAATGGGTTTTCACAATGCACCTCTTCCTCTATCCAATCGCTACACCTCTCGCTTCTTCCGTTCTTTTCCTATTTCTTTTTGCTCGCTCAACACGACGATATCACAACAAAATGTACCAAGTAGAAGAATTAGTTATCATTATCAGTTATCGTAAACGATCAGCTAACACTAGGACCGCTTCACGTGAACGGTGGCGGCATCACCATTGGATCGAAAGTCTGCTGTGTGGTTGAGAAGTTGCTGAAGCTCTCAATGCGACGATAGCCCCACAAGTCCATAGCATCGACACAAACATCCTGGATTTGTTTGATCTGAAATGAAGTGATACCAGTTTAATTCACGGTACTATCCAACAGAAATCATTATAAAAACCGACCTCTTCTGGCTTTAGATCCTGCATCCAATGGAATGGTGCTGATCTGGAATCACGATATGTGGAGCTGACACCTCCAATGTTCACCTTAGTGTGCGTGTCCAAGAACTCCTCCACGGCAGGATCAAACGGCAGGCCATAGAACTGTAGAATATCCTGGGTCATTTCACTGGGGCTCAGAGATAAGTCCTCATAACGAACAGTCCTGGAAGCAAACATATTTTAGACAGGGATAATAAATGAAGGAGAAAACTCACCTAAATCGAGATGGATATTTTTGTAACAGCTGCTCAGCAGTCTTGTAGTCATCTTGCAGATCTTGGCACACCAGGCGAGGATCCTCGCAGTCCTCGTTGCCTCCGCACCACACTCGATGTCGCCTCGATTGCATTGTTCCCCGCGGATCCCTCACCAGTAACACGATCCGCACGCTGGAGAGACTGCGGGGGGGACAGAAACTTGTTAGAATACTCATATAGATAATCATATATATGCGATGAATGATATATAATTGCTGGCGTAATAGTTAAGCACCGAGCCGTGAAGTTCACTTTGCCATGACAATGGGAGGGAGGGAGCCCGCCTGGAATTGGCTTTCAATTAAATCGGATTAAAACTTCTATAATGAAGCGTAATTAGCATTTTCATGGCGCTCAGCACGAGTCGGTTTCGATCCCAACTCCAATGGCAATACATGGTTCAACCGAAAATTGTTTTTAATTACAACACTTAAATGTATCTCTATTTCAGCTCCCACACTCTTTGCTCTTCAGCAATTGTAAATATATTTCATGAAAATGTTTTGCCTAAGCGAAAAAAAGCCAAACGTTGATAAAGTGGCAAAAACGGAAACAGCGAACGTGGTTTGAGACGATAATGGGGTCGGCCGGGAAGCAAAGGGAGGCTTAATGCAATATACGGGGCTGCAGGCAGAGTTTAGACATATCTCTTAGAAAAATACAAAATATAGTAAATACGTAGTAAGATAAATTATATTTTGCATAGTCCTTCTACCATATTTTAAAGAACAATTGATAATCAAATTGGTCAACATTAAATCTAAAATAGGTGAACTTTTAATTCCATTTCAATTGCCATATTTTATTACTTTCGTTTCATACATCTACTTTAATTGACATCAAAACAAGTTACTATCCAAATAATTCTTAGTACTTAGTAACTCGCAAATTTTGCCGTAGAGGCACGTCATCATCATCAGAGATATAACCACATACACTGGCATCACCACAGCGCCCACACTCCCACTTAACCACATTGCTAATGAGTTTGTGGCGAATTGAAACAATGTAAACATCAATAGCTGCATCTGTATGCAAATCGTAACATTCGTATACAGATAAAACATATAAATGTTTGAATGTCGCCAGCACAAAATACAATTGATAGAATGCAAGGAATGTTCAGAGTTATTACCACATAAATCTAGCAATAACATTTAGGAAAACAAAATGAAATATAGAAATATAACGACTTCTATTCGCACACATAAAATATCTAGTTAGTAAGTTCACCAGAAATTATGCTGCCGCCGACCATATTTGGAAGGGGTGCAAGTGCCAAGGCAGGCAGGAAAAATAAAATAATAATAAAAGATGCAACCACAAATATCAGTCTCTTTGGCTGGGCTCCACTGTTAGTTATCCATTCATAAACAAGTGTTCACAATGGGTTGGTGGTGGTTATAGCCAAAGCTGCAATAATACTTATACAGCAAACTTTTCAAAAAGACAAGAACCAAAAAAAATAACAGGCAATTACAAAAAAAAAGGGAAATACCAATTCCGCAACATTACTTGTATTTAAAGTACACAAGAAGAGTAACGGAATGGGATAAAGTATTCCACTTAAATTAATTTTGAACATATGGTTAATTTTTTGATGCTAATTAATTAATCCCCAACTTCATCTGGATTTTAAAAACCAAATATTTTTATAAAATTACCATAACCAAACACTACCAAGAATATTTATTGTGGAGTAAATTTTTAGAGCAGCCTTAGCTGATGTTTAGTTGTATGTCAGACAACAAATAAGTTTTTATAAAATTTGTAAAAATCACTTTAAAGTAACAGTAATACACTGAAAATTGGATCAAAAAAATTCAATCAACATCACAAACTATTTCTTTTTATTACGTGTCAAGTTGAATAATTTATGATGAAGTACACTTACATGGACCCAAAACACAACAAAATACTGTTGAAGGCCGTCATAAATTTCACTTTCGTTTTAGCTGAGTAATTTGAGATGTTTTCTTTCCATTTGTATTTTGTAATTGTGCGAAAAAGAGGCACTTGAGGCTAAAAATATGCATCAAGTTTAAAGCACCAACCAAATGGCTTTTCGAAGAATTCTCAAGTGGGCTTTCAACACTATCTGACATTGGAAGCAACTCAAAGATTACCTAGCATACATTAAAAATAGCAACATTCATTTTGAACATAATAATAATTTGGCTTGATATTATTTAAATATTAAGGTATGCCACAGCTGTAAATTGGTTGTTAACTATGTCGACTAGGGACATCTGAAAACTTTTGTCAGTTTTATTGGGTATTTTCAGCTTATGTTGGCTATAATTCAAGTCGGCTTTTAATTTAATTTTAATGGCCTCATGGCAATGCAGGCGTTAAGTGCTTGTTAAGTAAATGTTGCCCTGAAAAATGGTTGATGAAACATATAAAATAATTGGAAAAGCAGCATTGCGAACATGTTAAGTTGAAATGGCAGAGGCCACCTCGATTCGCATGCTATTCCCCGCCACTTTGACCCACTGACAGTGGCTTTTGGCAACTCACTAGCCCCAAGAGCAAAATATCACTGGCAAAATGTTTGTATTTATACTTTTCCGTTTTGTTTTTACTGCGGCAGCTGTGCGGCATTCTGACACAGTTCCAAAGATCAAAAGCCTAAAATTTGCACAGAATATACGCAAAATTATTTGAGAGCAGCCCAATCAATACCCGAAGACACCAATAGAAATGGTCTGCTATGTGGCACACATGATGAATAGACACGTTCACAGTTAGTCATTCCGGGAGCTGACAACGCTCTTTTGTTGACCGTTTCGGGGTCAAACTTGGAAGAGGCAAACCTCAGACGATTAATCAATATAATGGGCTCCTCTGTGTGTTGCCCCCTCCCCGCCATCGTCAATAAGTTTAACCGATTCGACTGACCAAAAACCGATACACAACTATTTACATAACTTCCCCGTGCAGAGGCGAACAAAAGTAAAAGTCGCTCACGTGTTGCTTGAGGCCTTGAACCCTGAACGCCGGCCAGATGAACTTTTCGAAATGACTTGCGTCATTAGTCAGGCGGCAGCAAAGATTTACATTTCCACTTACCAACGCCGGACTACTGCCCAGTGGCTGACCCATTAAACGATTTAACCACAGCTCTTGGAATTCATCCCGGCATTCTGGCATCTCGGTTCGGTGCGTCCGTCCCACTTCTGGCATGCCCAAGTATCATATCATTCGGGTGGCTTAGCGGTTGGGTTCTCATGCGTGTGCAGATGTCTCGCCTTATAAAATCACACTCGCACTAAGTACTGGGTAATTATTTTTAGAGGTTCGCAAGCTGACATAAGCCGGTAATGTTGATAAATGGCTACTGGAAAAGCCAAATGCTGGGAGAGCGGAAAATTGGAAATGGCTTTCCACTACGCCAAGATGGGCCACTTATTCTTTTAGTGATCAAGACCAAATGATCGCTTTACGAGTCACCAAGAGCTTTCTCTTAAGCTTATTTCCACACCTTTTTAATTCACTTGTTAAATATATCCCATATTTTATGCAAGTATCATCACGCCCCCATTTTGCGTCATAAATTCAACACTTTTTGCAATCAATTAGGCATTTTTAATGTTTTTGTTTTGCTCCTGTATTTTATGATGTAAATGTTGTTTTTACGAACTTGTGCACATTTATTTAGCTAGCCATCGCGGCACTGTGTGCTGAATTTTCCGCCGTGACCACTTCGCGAACGCTGAAAAAATATTACGCATACGCTCCGTTGGCCAAAGGCTTGTAAATATATGCACATGTGTGTGTGTGTCCACGCGTGTGTATTCGTGTTTATTTATAAAAATGTGCATAATTGCCGCGTGCGAGGTAAAAAAAGGTCAGAAGAGAGGCGGAAAGAGCGAGACCAGCGTTGAAAAATAAAACAAGAAAAACTAAGGCAACAAAATATTTAAATAAAATCAAAACAAAGAAAAAAATAGCGCAGAACTTTATTCTGTTCTCAGGGCTAAATTGAAATTCACCAAATATTAAATGCACGCTTCGACCAACAAGTAGAGAATTTTACATTTTTTGGGTTAAATTATGGAGGCAAGGCAAGAGCAGGAAAGGCAGCTATTATTTATTGAGCAAGACTCAGCTTGTAATTTGATTATATTTAAAATGTAAGCTCCACTTTAATCCTTGAAATAGCCCAACGAATCCCTACAACAGCACACAAAGCCACATAAATCCTCCAATGCTCGACATTAAGACCACCAACACATCGAAAAATATAGCCGCCACAAAAGCGGAAGCAACAAGAGGCAAAACAAAAATAGCTATACAGAGTAAGCCGTTTTTGGGCAAAACGCAAATACAGAACTGAAGTAAAACGAAATTTATCGATTTAACAATTGCCAAACAAAAGCAAAATGCAGGCACGTAAATGCGAGTAGTTAAACTCCCACCCACTACGACCCAGTCCAACTTGGCTCATATTTCAAAGCCAGCAAGTAACTTTTGCTGGTGCCCAGTTAAAAACATGCACAAATACTGTCCCAGTCCCGCCCAATTCTTGTGTTGCAAACGAAAACACAAACTCAAGTCTCGGAAAACATGCAAATTGGTGAAAACGATGATTCCGTACGAAGCCAACTCGGAAACTGCGTTCCTAAACTTATTACGATGGAACGGGAAAAACAAGAAAGTAAACTAAACTGATTTTAGAATGTATACAAGTGCAGAGCTTTTTCACCCCCTCTTTTTGATTGTAATAATTTTAATTACAAGTGACATGCGAGAGGGCTGCCACTTCCTAACAGGCAATTTGGTCATGTTGGGGCTACTTTTCCAGTATAATGCACTATTTTAATGTATATCTGGAGATCTCCAGCAAGGATGAAATCAGGTCAAGGGGTGTCAGATTTCGGGCAGAGAAACGTTGTCCAACTTTTAGTTATAAGCTTTTAATGCTCTCAGAAGTCAGCAGGAAAACTTGGGAAAGCAACTTTAAACAAGAAAGGAAGCAAACTTCGGCAAGCCGAAGTTTATATGCCCTTGCAGTTATTACAAAACGACAACATTTCGATTTATATTGTTTATATTTATATCACTAAAAACAATGAAGCTATGTCGATTTTGCGCTGCATTTGGCCATCGTTTATATGGCAGCTATATGATATTGTTCT